CAGAACTGTAGTGTACAAACTTCAGAACTGTAGTGTACAAACTCTCAGAACTGTAGTGTACAAACTCTCAGAACTGTAGTGAACAAACTCTCAGAACTGTAGTGTACAAACTCTCAGAACTGTAGTGTACAAACTCTCAGAACTGTAGTGTACAAACTCTCAGAACTGTAGTGTACAAACTCTCAGAACTGTAGTGTACAAACTCTCAGAACTGTAGTGTACAAACTCTCAGAACTGTAGTGTACAAACTCTCAGAACTGTAGTGTACAAACTCTCAGAACTGTAGTGTACAAACTCTCAGAACTGTAGTGAACAAACTCTCAGAACTGTAGTGTACAAACTCTCAGAACTGTAGTGTACAAACTCTCAGAACTGTAGTGTACAAACTCTCAGAACTGTAGTGTACAAACTCTCAGAACTGTAGCGTACAAACTCTCAGAGCTGTAGTGTACAAACTCTCAGACCTGTAGTGTACAAACTCTCAGAGCTGTAGTGTACAAACTCTCAGAACTGTAGTGTACAAACTCTCAGAACTGTAGTGTACAAACTCTCAGAACTGTAGTGTACAAACTCTCAGAACTGTAGTGTACAAACTCTCAGAACTGTAGTGTACAAACTCTCAGAACTGTCGTATACAAACTCTCAGAACTGTAGTGTACAAACTCTCAGAACTGTAGTGTACAAACTCTCAGAACTGTAGTGTACAAACTCTCAGAACTGTAGTGTACAAACTCTCAGAACTGTAGTGTACAAACTCTCAGAACTGTCGTATACAAACTCTCAGAACTGTAGTGTACAAACTCTCAGAACTGTAGTGTACAAACTCTCAGAACTGTAGTGTACAAACTCTCAGAACTGTCGTATACAAACTCTCAGAACTGTAGTGTACAAACTCTCAGAACTGTCGTATACAAACTCTCAGAACTGTAGTGTACAAACTCTCAGAACTGTCGTATACAAACTCTCAGAGCTGTAGTGTACAAACTCTCAGAACTGTAGTGTACAAACTCTCAGAACTGTAGTGTACAAACTCTCAGAACTGTAGTGTACAAACTCTCAGAACTGTAGTGTACAAACTCTCAGAACTGTAGTGTACAAACTCTCAGGAAAACTGACTTTAGCCAAGATCTACCCGGCTGTAGTGTGAGCAACAGCTCATCAAAGCTGGTGAGTCCGATCAAACCAGCTGTAACTGGCCGTGTGGACAAGGCTCCAACAGCCTGTAGTGGACAGACTTCAGGGTTACCTGGAGTTTACCTGAGAAATTTCGGGTGTCAACGCCCGGACCGGTCTGTATGCCTCTCCTGTGTGTACAGCTCTGATCAACCAGGTGTTTCTGCTGGCTGTACGCAAACCCACTCGAGCACAGCCCGGCTGGTAGGAACGACTCTAGGGCTGTAGTGCCAGCATTAACGACTGCCCGGGGTCTGTGGTAATCCCTCTTAGTACTGCTAGGTACAGGAACTTCACCCCGACATATGTATGGTTCTATAACGTGCTAGGACACTGCTTTTCATTGGGATGTTCAATCTCTCAAGTCTTTTGCTTCGTTGTAGTGATTTCGTTGAAGTGTCGGTATAGTCCACTCTAGGATTTGTAGTGTACATAATCTGATCTCCGTGTTCCAGGATACGGTTCAGGAACTGCGTCCCAGTAATTGAGGGATTTAATCTGTTAGCGGTGTGAAGGTTCTCGTCATTCTAGTAGTTTCAACTCTTCAGGTGGTTAGTGTGAGCAATATTTAGCCATAGAACAATGACTCAGACTCATGGCTTGTGCTCGCATGGAAGGTTCTCAACCATGCTGTCATTTTTCGGCAGATGCAGAACAAGGTTATGGCCTGTAGGGACCCAGACATGATCACTCCCAGCCTTTGACGTTGGTGTTTCGCTTTTTTTGGAGAATTTGTTTCCGATGAGATTTAATTTCCTCGTGTTTACCACTCCTGGTAATTGAAATTCTATCGTTAACTTCATGTGTTTTCTGCAGCCCACTGAAAATTTGGTGTGTCCGCCTGGAGCTTTGCAGTGTTGAATGAAGACCTGTCATGCAGATTCGGGTGTCATCTGCAAAGGAAACACGGTGCTGTGGCTGAATCCCTGTCTATGTCGATCTGGGATGGGAAGAGATGGGAAGCGAGTTACTGGCCTGTGAACAGAGCTTTCACGTACTGGCCTCGGACTTTACTCTGTTGACGACTACTCTCTGTGTTCTGTTAGTGAGGAAATTATAGATCCATCGACCGACTTTTCCTGTTATTCCTTTAGCACGCATTTTGTGCGCTATTACGCCATGGTCACACTTGTCGAAGGCTTTTGCAAAGTCTGTATATATTACATCTGCATTCTTTTTGTCTTCTAGTGCATTTAGGACCTTGTCGTAGTGATCCAATAGTTGAGACAGACAGGAGCGACCTGTTCTAAACCCATGTTGCCCTGGGTTGTGGTGGCCCGGTGGTCTGGTGGCTAAAGCTCCCGCTTCACACACGGAGGGCCCGGGTTCGATTCCCGGCGGGTGGAAATTCCGACACGTTTCCTTACACCTATTGTCCTGTTCACCTAGCAGCAAATAGGTACCTGGGTGTTAGTCGACTGGTGTGGGTCGCATCCTAGGGGACAAGATTAAGGACCCCAATGGAAATAAGTTAGACAGTCCTCGATGACGCACTGACTTTCTTGGGTTATCCTGGGTGGCTAACCCTCCGGGGTTAAAAATCCGAACGAAATCTTATCTTATCTTATCTCTTAACTGATGGGTTTCAAGATGGGTGGTGATCTTGCTTCTTAGGACCCTTTCAAAGATTTTTATGATATGGGTTGTTAGTGCTATTGGTCTGTAGTTCTTTGCTGTTGCTTTACTGCCCCCTTTTGGAGTGGGGCTTTGTCTTGTTGTTTTTAGTAACTGTGGGACGACCCCCGTGTCCATGCTCTCTCCATAAGAGGGAAAAGGCTCGTGGTAGGGGCCTGCTTAGCAGTTCTTGATGAACACGGAGTTCCTATGAGGTCTGGCCCCTGGAGGCAGAGTGCATGGGCATGTTCATTTATCGCCTGTTCCGAAGTCATTTGGCCGTCAGGATAACATCGGATAGGCTTGTTGTTAATCAAATTTTGTGGATCTCTCATAAAAATTCATTTTGATCTTCGACTCTCAGTTCTGGTTAGCGGCTTGCTAAAAAACTGAGTCATATTTCGGACTTGAGTTCTAGCTCACTCATTTTCCTTGCTGTATCTGTGTAGGACCCATCTTGTTTAAGTAGAGGCCCCAATATGGACGTTGTTCCCGACCTTTGATTTGGCATAGGAGAGAAATACTTTGGGTTTCTTTCGATTTCATTTATGGCTTTTAGTTCTTCCGCGATTCGTGTCTCCTAAACGGATTATTTTAGCCTTAAGTTCGATGCTTGCTATTTCTCTGACCAGTGTCTCCTACGTCATTTCAATATATATTGACCTCTTTTATTTAGCCGCTTCTGTTATTCTTTTCCGTCGCCTGTTAAAGAGAGCGCCCTGTCTCTTTCTATTTTACATTACTCCTCCTTTTTCTTAGAGGAATATGCCTTGTGCATACATCGAGTTGCCACGTGTTAATCTGTTCTAGGCATAGTTGGGTGTCTGTGGTTGCTTAGATATTCTTCCCAGCTTATATCGTTAGACTTGGTTTTTGGTTCCACTTTAGTTTTTGTTTTGAAGTTGAATTTGGTGAATTGACTCCCTCTCGTGACTAGTCTTCATTTTGTCGGTCTGGGGCTCCACGCATACATGTCTGAACCTCAATTATGTTGTGATCTGAGTATATTGTTTTTGATATGGTGATATTTCTTATCAGATCATCATTGTTAGTGAAGATGAGTCTTAAACTTGGTTTCAAGTATGTTACAGGTAGAGTGTGATCCTGGTACAAGATATCAGGGACAGGTTCAGTGGTCCCTTAAACCATCCCTGGCTGTATGACCCTACGGGTTTAGTGCACCCGCGTGATTGCAACAATAACTCTGGCATCAGAATTGTATTGAATTTACTAATTCAAGTTTGGTTTCTGAATTTATCTAATGGATTAATATTATATCTTATGTTGTTCTCTCCTCTCCTTGGATCAAACCTCATTACCTTGTATTCCCAGGTCTTGTGTCACCCATACGGGTTGAGCGCTTCTCCGTGAGTACACTTATGCTTAAAACCGTTCATTAGTCAGGTCCTGTTTGACAGGTTTAGCGCTTGTCCGTGAACGTCACATTACTATACCCCTCATGGGCCGGGTGGGACTCGAACCCATGGCAAGTAAGTGATAAAACTACAGGCCGCTGGGCCAGCTGGGCCAGCTGGCTCTAGTAAGATTCATCCAACTAGATATATTTCTATACACCATAGGAAGGTTAGCATGGGCCACCACTATGACCACACAGCCAGGCTCCTGTGTGTGAGTCAGCTGTAAAAACCTACATTTGTGGTCGCAGTGGTAGCCCATGCTAACCTTCCTATGGTGTATAGAATATACCCTTGAATGAATCTTATACAGCCAGCTGGCCCAGCTGGCCTGTGAGTTTTGTCACTTACTTTCCATGGGTTCGAGTCCCACCCGTTCCCTTAGTTGTTTACAGTCGTGTTATTGTAATTTCGTGAGTCCCAGAAGCTTAGCTCAACTAAACTTTAACCATTAATAGTTTAACTTCAAGTTAGAGTAATATACGCCTCCTGCTGTGAGGGGCTCTTGATCCAGGGAAGTGGACCTTTTCTTTCCTTCCTTAAAAATGCCTCTCATTCCCCGGGTATTATATTACCCTCCGAATTTAGCGTTTCCCTCCCCCTCCTTCCCTTGGAATGAACCATAATTTAAAACACTCCCAAGCGCCCCACTGCCATCCTACCATTATTGCTATGTTTATTATCCAAACTGTTGCAACTCCTCGCTAGTCAACCTTATAAAAATAAACTATATTCTTTATTCCGTTGATGGCGAGTGTAGTGCGCTTGCCAGGCTGATATTGTTGTTGCCTTCTACAGGTGGCAGTCAGGCTGAAACCGGAACTTCTGGCCCAACTGGAACGAATAGTGTCGTTCCTGTAACGAAGAGTCTAGTCCCCTGCCCACTTGACGCTGTTGTAGCTTCTGCAGGGTAGCGCCCAAATGAAGGCTGAAACACCCCTCGCAGAGCCTGGAGAGGATCCTGGACAACAAACCTGTGCGTCCTCCTGTAGTGTCGACGCTGGCGCAGAGATGACAGGAGCTAGCGGCGCAGGGGGTCGAGGAAGAGAGTGAGGAGGTAGTGTGTAAGTGTGTGAGAGAATTAATGATTATGTGTGAGTGGGAGAGAGGAAGGGAGTGAGAGAGGGGATAGGAGAGGAAGAAGGGGGGAGCAGGGTCAAACTTTGCTGGGATTCCCTCTTGTTGTGTCCTCACATCATGAATAACTGCATGCACGCAATTGCGCACAAGCACGCTCATGCACACACAGCACATACGCACATAAACACACACACACACACACACATTTTGTTAATGGTTACAACATTTAGAAAGACGTACACTGCAACACACTAATGGCTTGGTGTACACAGACACCTGGGACAGCATTGTGAGCACCTAACATACTTGAGGACCCCAGTAAACTTTGACCCGATGTGTACACCTTACCTTGGCGGTCACTGTGCTCTTCCCTCTAACATATAATGATTTGCAGTACTGAAGAGTTATCTTCTATGTCCATACAGGCTTAGGGCTTCTCCATGAATATCTAAAAATATCCTTAATAGCCAGATATAGTTGTAAACTAGATGTAATGGAGTTAGTAGTGACCAGATGGTAAGGTTGATTCTAAACAGCTAGGTGCGCGAGGTTGTTAGGTCAAGTGTGTCTGTGTGAGTTGGGTGGGAGGGAGAGTTTGGTGTGTGTGTGTGTGTGTCTGTGGGTGATATTTCTGCTCATAGCATCAATATTTTATACAATATTTTATCTATTATCTATTCTGCTTATCTCTATTATCTATTCTGCTTTTTTTTTCTGATTAATTTTAATATTAATGTGTATGGAATCTGGGTCCACATGTTTGATGACTGTCCTTAGATAGATAGCATGCTTTCTGATTTATTGATTGGTACTTGCCACTGTACCATTGTACCTCTGTGCCACACTGTTACCATCTGTACCAACATGTACTCTGGTGCCACACTGTAATCCTCTGTACCACACTTGTACCTCTGTCAACACTGTACCACACCGCACAATCTGTACTATTATTGTTACCATATTGTACCTCTGTGCCACCAATGTCACATCTGTACAACACTGTACCACACCGCCACATCTGTTAAACCATTGTTACCATATTGTACCTCTGTGCCACCACTGTACCTCTGTACAACACTGTACCACACCGCACATCTGTACCACATTGTACCTCTGTGCCACACTGTACCTCTGTACAACTCACTGCTACCACACCCGACATCTGTTACCACATTGTACATATGTACCTCCTGTACCACACTGTACCACATTGTACGTCTGTTCCCACACTGCCCACCGCACTGTCAGTGCTCCGGCCGTACATTAAAGTACACTGTAACTGTGCTCACTCAACCTCCTACAGAACACAGCTACACAGCCAACTGTACCTTCATCATCCTGATGAATAACCCACGAACGTCTTTATGTACACACACTACTGTACGTACATGTCTTCGTCATGTACACACACTACTGTACATATGTCTACCGTCATGTACACACACTACTGAACGTACATATCTTCATGTACACACACTACTGTACGTACATGTCTTCTTCATGTACACACACTACTGTACATATGTCTACCGTCATGTACACACACTACTGAACGTACATATCTTCATGTACACCACACTACTGTACAATGTCTACCGTCATGTACACACACTACTGTACACATGTCTACCATCATGTACACACACTACTGTACACATGTCTACCGTCATGTACACACACTACTGTACACATATCTACCGTCATGTACCACACTTACTGTACACATGTCTTCGTCATGTACAACACTACTGTACCACATGTCTACATCATGTACACACACTACTGTACACATGTTAAGTCTGTACACACATGCTGTACACATGTCTTCGATCATGTACACACACTACCTGTACACATGTCTACCGTCATGTACACCACACTACTGATACCACATGTACCGTCATGTACACACACTACCTGTACACATGTCTACCGTCATGTACACACCACTTACTGTACACATGCTTCGTCATGTACACACAATACTGTAACAAATTGTTACCGTCATGTACACACACTACGTACACATGTCTTACCGTCATGTACACACACTACTGTACACATGTCTACCGTCATGTACACACACTACTGTACACATGTCTACCGTCATGTACACACACTACTGTACACATGTCTACCGTCATGTACACACACTACTGTGCACATGTCTACCGTCATGTACACACACTACTGTACACATGTCTACCGTCATGTACACACACTACTGTGCACATGTCTACCGTCATGTACACACACTACTGTACACATGTCTACCGTCATGTACACACACTACTGTACACCATGCTACCGTCATGTACACACCACTCGGTACACATGTATACCGTCATGTACACACACTACTGTACACTTGTCTACCGTCATGTAACAACTATGTACACATGTCTACCGTCATGTTCACACACTTACTGTACAACATGTACTACCGTCATGTACACACATACTGTACACATGTCTACCGTCATGTACCACACTACTGTGCACATGCTACCGTCAGGTTACACACACTACTGTACACATTCTACCGGCATGTTACCACCACTACTGTGCACATGGTCTACAGTCATGTACACACACTACTGTACACATGTCTACCGTCATGTACACACATACTGTTGCACAGTCTTACGTCCATGATACACACACTACTGTAACATGTCTTCGTCATGTACACACACTACTGTATACACATGTCTTCCGTCTGTACACACACTACTGTACACATGTCTACCGTCATGTACACACACTACTGTACACATGTCTTCGTCATGTACACACACTACTGTACACATGTCTTCGTCATGTACACACACTACTGTACACATGTCTTCGTCATGTACACACACTACTGTACGTACATGTGTTCGTCATGTACACACACTACTGTACACATGTCTACCGTCATATACACACACTACTGTACACATGTCTACCGTCATGTACACACACTACTGTACACATGTCTACCGTCATGTACACACACTACTGTACACATGTCTACCGTCATGTACACACACTACTGTACACATGTCTACCGTCATGTACACACACTACTGTACACATGTCTACCGTCATGTACACACACTACTGTGCACATGTCTACCGTCATGTACACACACTACTGTACACATGTCTTCGTCATGTACACACACTACTGTACACATGTCTACCGTCATGGACACACATACATTACACATGTCTACCGTCATGTACACCCATACTGTACAATGTCTTCGTCTATGTACACACACTACTGTACACATGGTCTGCGTCATGTACAACACTACTGTACACATGGCTTCGTCATGTACACACACTACTGTACGTACATGTGTTCGTCATGTACACACACTACTGTACACATGTCTACCGTCATATACACACACTACTGTACACATGTCTACCGTCATGTACACACACTACTGTACACATGTCTACCGTCATGTACACACACTACTGTACACATGTCTACCGTCATGTACACACACTACTGTACACATGTCTACCGTCATGTACACACACTACTGTACACATGTCTACCGCATGTACCACACACTACTGTACACATGTTACCGTCATGTACACCACACTACTGTACAAATGTTCCGTCATGTTCAACCACATCTCTGTACGTAATGTGTTCGTCTGTCACACATACTGTACACATTGTCTACCGTCATATACACACACTACTGTACACATGTCTACGTCATGTACACACACTACTGTGCACATGTTCTACCGTCTTGTTACTCACACTACTGTACAACATGTCTACCGTTCATTGTACACACATACTGTACACATGTCTACCGTCATGTACACACACTACTGTACACATGTCTACCGTCATGTACACACACTACTGTACACATGTCTACCGTCATGTACACCCACCACTACTGTACACTTTCTCCGTCATGTTTTTACACACCACTACTGTACACATGTTCTTCGTCATGTACACACACTACTGTACGTACATGTGTTCGTCATGTACACACACTACTGTACACATGTCTACCGTCATATACACACACTACTGTACACATGTCTACCGTCATGTACACACAATACTGATTACACATGTCTACCGTCATGTACCACACTTACTGTACACATGTCTACCGTCATGTACACACACTACTGTACACATGGTATTCGTCATGTACTCAACTACTGTCCACATGTCTACCGTCATGTACCACACTACTGTACACATGTCTACCGTCATGTAACACACACTACTGTACACAGTTACCATCTTGTCCACACACTACTGTAACATGTCTACCGTCATGTACACATCACTACTGACCACACATGTCTACACGTCATGTACACCACACTACTGTACACTGTCTACCCGTCAGTAACACACACTACTGTTACACATGTCTTACCGTCATGACACACACTATGTTACACATGTCTTCCTCCATGTACAAACACTACTGCTAACATGTCTACCGTCATGTACACACACTAATGTGAACATGTCTACCGTCATTGTACACACAATACTGTACACATGTTACCGTCATGTACACAACACACACTACTGTACACATGTCTAACCGTCATGTACACACCACTACTGTACACATGTCTACCGTCATGTACACACACTACTGTAAACATGTCTACCCGTCATGTACACACACTACTGTGCACATGTCTACGTCATGTACACACACTACTGTACACATGTCTACGTCATGTACACACACTACTGTCACATGTTCTACCGTCATGTACAACATATGTTCACATGTTCTACCGTCTTGTACACACACTTACTGTACACATGTC